GCACTTTTTATTGTTATCCTCCTGATATCCACCTCCCAAGAAGTAAGGATTGTAGGCTTGAACCACCATGCCTGGCCTATATTTTTAAAAAACCTACCATGCTTTATATACTTATAAGGCAAAAAAAATATATATATATGGAGAAAATCTCATAAAACTATTATTTGGGGAAGAGAGGCAGAGAGGGGAAATTATTAAAAGTTGGAGCTGCTCTGTAGTGTTTGGCTTGTTAAAAAAAAAAAGGAACTTAATTGAGATTCTTCCTGTTTCAGTTTTAGCAGAAGTCTTACAGACCAAAATCAAACTCTACTCCAAGCTGGGGGTGGAGCTCAATGTCAGAGCATGGACTTGGTATCTGTGAGGAGCTAGACTAGGTCCCAGCTTCACTAAAACAACCAAAGCCTCATTCTAGAACATACCCCTGCAGATGGTGGTACTCACATTTTTTTCCTTTTCAAAGCAGAGCATCCATTGCCCTGTTCCACTATTTTATATGCTGGGTGGAGGATTTAGCTCATAGACCCAGAACAGCCATATCCAACTAAGCCATAACCACTGTTTTTTGCTCAGAAAGCTGGGCTCTGAGATGGATTCAAAAACTGGACAAGACTTTGGGTTGTCTCACTTGGGAAATTAGAGGGAATTTTCCTTGTATGAGAAGCACAGACAAAGGGATATTTGAAGTCTAAAAGAGTGGAGTGTAGTAAAGAATGGTATGCTCCCCAAACTACCACATTCCAGAGTGTTCATTAGTCTTGTGTTGAGAGACTAAAAAAATTTTTTAAAGAAAGGAAGGAAGGAAAAAAGGAAGGAGATAGAAAGGGAGGGAGGAAGGAAAGAAGGAAGGAGGAGAAAGAGAGAAGGAAGGAAGGAGAGAGGGAGGGGAAGGAGGGAAGGAAGGAAGGAAAGAAGGGGAGGGAAGGGGAAGAGAGGGGAGAGGAAAGGAGGGGAAGGGGGGAAGGGAGGAGAAAGGAGGGGAAAGGAGGGGAAAGGAGGGGAAGAGAGGGGAACAGAGGGGAAGGGAGGGGAAGGGAGGCAAAAGGAGGGGAAGGGAGGGGAGGGAAAAGCCCCCAAAGGAGATGTACAGGACTTGCCCAGCATGAGCAAGGCCCTTGATTGTATGGATCCCCAGCACAAGGAAACAAACAAAACCCGTACAAGAGGAACATATATGTAGTCTTACAAATTTGTGAGAAATTTGCCTTTTAAGTGAGTTGCTCTCTTTTTAAGAACCTACCAAAGTTTTCTACAACCAGAAGTTTTTAAGAACCTACCAAAGTTTTGTACAACCAGAAGTTTTGTACAACCAAAGTTTTGTACACCCAGAAGTTTTGGCCCTAAGAACCAGGTAACCAGCCATTATATGATGGGATCTGTGAATCCTGTAACTCATGTCTAGACTTAACCACTGAAAATAGCAGAGCCAGCTTGGTAATCAAGTTTATGTTTTGCAGAACCCTGGATCCATCAGCATTTTAAAGTTATTTCACTCTCAGTTCACTCTCTAACTTTTATCTTCATTTAGCAAGGCCTCTAGCAACCTAAAAACCTCTCGAAAATACGTTACTCCTCTCTAAGACATGGCATTTTGGTTTGATCACCTATAAGCAATGTCTGTGCTTCTTCAATGTCAGTAGTGGAGAACATAAAACTTTGCATTTTAAGAATCTTTGGGGTTTACCAGAATCTAAGAATCCTGCATTACATTCTTACACATAACCCTTTTCAGTACATGGCACTATGAATATATTTAGGAATTATTCTGATATTCTATAAGTTTAACACTTTGTTTTGTTTTGAGCAGGGTCTCACTTCAGGATGATCTGGAACTCATGATCCTTCTGCCTTGGCAGGAGTGCTGGGATCACAGGTTACCACACCCAGCTCAAGTTTAACACTTTGAAATGATGAATGAAATTAATAAGTCAGCAGAAACTGTTAAAAACAAAACATTTTCAAAGTGAAGGCAACAGGATAATAGTTCTTCTTAGACCTGAGACTCCCCATTGTAAGTAAAAGGTTAAAATTATGCTAAAAAAATTTTATCAAGCTTAATTTGTAGCAGCATTCATCTAATGCCTGATATCTCTATTTTGACATCCACCTCTTAATATTTATCCTAAGTGACATCTCAATTATTCATAGAAGAGTGTGATTAAGTACTTTCAAGATGGTTAGTATCAACAATGAACCAAAACACACATCTAAAAGAATGGAAATGTATCAGAAATGGAAACTGAACTAGTTATTTCCTAGAAAAGACTTTGTCACTGTCACTGTGGTTATTCACTTAATTGAGCTCTTGATTTGCAAGTGCATTGGTCTATGCAGGAGGCTGTATCACACATATTGATATAAAGGTTATCGTACTAACAATAACAGCTTGACATTTTGGTTCACGTTTAGGCCCTTGCTCCATCAGGCTTCTCCATGTCTAGGACTTGCTCTTCAGAGAATGCAGAAGCAAGATTTTTTTCTCTCTCTAACTACACAGACAACCACAGGCCTCTATTACTAAAATTTGCCAAATATACAAAGGAGAAGAAAAGGAGGTGAACAGAAGGAGGACATATGAAGAACTCCGCAGATGAAGGACCACTAACTTGCTAAGAAACACTAAATATACTTTTCCAACTACTTTTTAAGTCTGTTGAAGTTTTGAAGATTCAGAAACATCTATAACTTTGGTTGACCAAAAGAAATGAGATCTCCCCCAAAAAAAGTCAACTCAGCTCAATAAATAGATTATTAAACGACCTGCCTGTGCCACTCACTGTGGCAGATGCTGGAGCTAAGGGAGCCAGCAAGATGGATGGATCACACACTCATGGAGTTTATAGCTCCAAGTGTGCGGGAAGAGAAAACCGCTGTTAGCCTAAGTTTTCATGGGCCATGAACCCTAAGTTTGTGACTTGACAGTGTTCTAAAATGCTGAGATTAGTGGTTGATAGAATCACTTTCAACTGTATACTCCTTCAGAAAAAAAGGATTTTTAGGACTAGATCTCCAATATATGTTCAATGTTTTTTTATTATATGTGACTAAGTAATTAATGAACAAAACAAAAGCCTTTCTTCTCACTAAAAGTATTGAAAACTATTCTAATCCATAAATTATGCAAGCTTGCTTATTAACATCTGGCTACCATAATCTTAAAATCCCTGCTATCAATCAGTGGTCCTTTCAAACTAATCAGAAGCTGCTGCATATTCATATTTTTTTAACAAATGGGTTCAAAATCTACTGAAGTGCTCAATTAAAGGATTGCATTTTTTTTTTCTTTTTGTGATACTGGAGTTTGAACTCAGGGCCTCAGGTTGCTAGGCAGGTGCTCTACCACTTGAGCCACTCCTCCAACCCAAAAGACTGGATTTGAAGTCCGTGGAACTTGTCTTTCTACTGTGAGATTTTTAAAACAAATCAAAGCAAGTTAGTGATATCAGCCTTAGGAGTAGCATTGCTGCTCATCTAAACTTCATTCAGTAAATTAAAAGCAAGCTCATTTGTTACATTAAAAACTGAGCACTTTAAGTACTATATACACAATATTTATTGTTTCAGACCATTTTTTACAATGAATTCTACTTCACTTAACTCTAGACAACACAACTGCTATCATACAATTATAATTGAGTTAATGTCCATGTCTTCTTTCAATGAATAAGATGTACAGTTTTTGTATTTAATAAAATACAAATGAGGTTTTGATTATTTAATAACATGTAGTTTTATTTCTACTAAATATAATAGAATTTGGCAAAAGGAGATCGAAACAGGATAGCAAATTGTTTCCAAGTTTATAAAAGCATATGTAGGTTATTTTTACCATGAAAAACACACAATGCTGGCAACATTTTGAAATATTTGTTTTCAACTCTTCTCTTCACAGCATGCTGTCACTAACATTACTTTAAAGGGACAAAAATCTGTGGGTTTGGGGTTTTTAAATTTTTTTTTTAAAAAAAAAACTAATGGGTGACATTATTGAGAACTACATATGCTTACAGAAAAGATCAGCAAATTTTGAATATTTGTTTCTGTAAAAGAACTTTTTTTAATAACTCCCTTTTAACTAAGACAACTTTCTTAACTTTGTTACAAATGATTTTCACAATCAGGTACCATCTTGTTTTGAAGTACAGATAAGACTCGATAATTTTAAAAGATTTGTTTGTATACAATCATTCATAACAATAAATTACTAAAACATGTAAACTGTAATATGTTAAGTCCTATAACGCATTCTATTATGTCAGTGATTCTAAGATTTGCGTTTGTCATATTTAAAATCTCCGAAATTGGGAGAAATCTTAAACTAAGGGGTGGTATGGTACTGGCGGGGCAGGTCCCTGAGCATGCTCACGTAGCTCAATGGCCTGGAAAACACCCCAGACACAATAGGGGTAGGAGACACTCTTTTGAGAAATGCTGCTTTATTAACACCATGTCACTGGGGATGATATTGAGTGAGACACAAAAGTGTTCGGGCGTATTGGACTCTAAATGTGAGCTTATCTAAAATATTTTAACCTGTTTATTTTGCTTAAATCTCTTGCTCTGTTTTGAATGCACAAGAATGATAGATGATAAACATGTCTATATAAATCTAAAAAGTACATTTCAGTGAATAAAATGTTAAGATTCTAAATAATGAGTAAGCATCGTGTCATAGTTTATGTGAGAGTACTTTTTATGTGGCATTGTGGGACGTCTGTCCTCTCTCAGAACCGCACTTACAACATTGAACCATTTCGTGCTGGTGTCACACCACCAATAAAGGTGAATTTCGTTCTTCTTTTTTAGATAGCAAATGCAAATGAAAGAGCCAATGGGGCTTGCCACACTTCAGCGGGGGACAGCGCACCCCGCGGGCTTTGGAGAGCGCGGCGCTATGGAGTGGTGAGAACTGGGCGGTCCAAAGCAGAGGAAGCACATCTGGGGACCGTTCTCCACGAGCCACAGCACAAATGCCACTTCTCTGTGGCGGTGGAAGCCGAGAACATGACTTTGCCTTGCTCAGATCTTGATGCCCAACGACTCTTGGTGAGTCAGTCCGCGCTTAGTACCGGCGGAGTGGAGACAGATTACCTTGCTCACAGTGACACTGGCACATTTCCCAACGCGGGCGAGCTTGGACCGCTGCGGGGAAACCACCGGCTCTGATCAGGCTGAGTCCGGACGCAGTTCTCTTAAGGTTTCTTTCTGCCGGGAGGTCAAGGTCAAGGCCACCGCCAGGTCCCGACCCGGGCTTGGCAGCGGGTCCGCGCGCGCCCCTGGCTTGGCAGCGAGCGCGCCGGGCGGAGAGCGGGCGCTGGCGATCCGGAGCGACGCACGTGTGGCCCGGGACCACCTGGTCCGGTCCTCGGGGACACAGGCCACCGACACGCGGTGAGTAATCACTGGCTCAGGCCTCGCTTCCTTCTCTTAGGGCTTGGGTGGCGTCTTCTCGCCACGGTCCTGACGATGTTCTCTAGGGTTTGGATGGATGGACAGAAGGGGCGCTCAGACAAGAAGGGCAGACAGAGCTGTGGGTGCTGATGGAAGGAAGGAAAGGGCGTCTTGAAAAGAGCAAAGGGGTCCCTCAAGTCCGGGTTGGTCCAGTCACAGGTGTGACTACTTGAAAATGGATGCTTTCTGCGTAAGATATTGAGGGGTCCGACAGCACTTTCTTAGGGCCTCGGTGGACAGAGCCCAGAGTTCCTGCCTGGCCAGTCTCTAGCAGGACGCACTGGGGCAAACCCCTTGCACAGACCCAGTTTTCTCATCTATGAAACGTCTTTCTCATCTGTGAAATGTGAGGTCCTTCTCGTCTTGTTGGGGGCCCCTACATTGTAATGGCTTGTGTATCCACACAATTAGATCTAGATGTTACAAATAGTAGCCCCAAAAGCACACAAGATTTTCCCAAGCAAGTCTACAAAACGGGGCAAAATTAGTCTTTTTTGAACTGGATAAAGGGTATAAGCCGCTGTGTGTTCGCTATGGAGATGAAAATCCTTGAGCACTTACTACACGCCTGGCCCTTGGGTTTTTATTGTTGTCTTATACAATTTAAAAACCCAGTGGAAAGCCTGGGAGCATGGCTCAAGAGGTAGACATCTTGCTTAGCAAGGAAGAGGCCCTGAGTTCAAATCCCAGTACTGTCAAAACAAACGAATGAACAAATTTTGTTTGGTATTCCCATGTTATAGATTAGGAAACTTGTACACACAAATAGTAGGTTGAAAGTTAGGATTTCTGGTTCCAAACTCTGTGTTCCTTTGGCTTGCATCACTGGCTTACAATATTCTATTCATCTCCACAGGGACAAATAAACATTAGACTGCCATTCGCCATCAACAGGAATAGTACAGCACCTGCCCTATTCCCTGTGCTGCATACTACCCAGAGGACCTTAGCAGCTAAGACCTGATAGTCTCCCCCACCCCCATTTCCATGTGAAATCCTCTCAGTTCATTGCTATTTCTTTTTTTAGGCAGGGCAGGCCCTAGAAGAGTTTGCAACGTATTCTTGATCATGTGTCATGGGTCTTGTGTGACATCATGGTTAGACAGGATGGTAAATTTCCAAATGTGGGCAAACTCTGAACCTCAGTATTCATTCTTAGAATGGATTTCAGTGTGAAAAAATTCTAAAGAGTCAGTGTGATTTAAGGAAGAAGAATCCCCTTAGTACAGTAAGTGTTGCAAATCATTTCTTAATACTGGACTTCTTTTGTATTATTGCACCTGCTTTGCTCTCTAGCAAATTACTTGTGTGTATGTGTGTTTGTGTGTGTATGTGTGTGTTTGCAGTACTAGGGTTTGAACTCAGGGCCTAAACCTTGAGCCACTCCACCAGCCCTTTATTTGTGATGGGTTTTTTCCAGATAGGATCTTTTGAACTATTTGCCCATGCTGACTTTGAACTGCAATCCCCCTCATCTCTGCCTCCCGAGTAGCTAGGATTGCAAGTGTGATCCACCATGCTTGGCTTATTTGTCATTTTTATAATTGGATTCACAGTACTGCTCTCAATATCTGCATATAAATTTGCAAGCTTACTTCCTTTTGGTAAAACCAAAAGAAATCTTGAACAATTTCCTTTGCTCTTGGAAATTTCTAGTCCTTTTTTTTGTGTGTGTGAGGTAACAACATTTATTATTGCTGTTTTTTTCAAGTGCAAATATGTATCCAACATCTATTATTCTGGATGCATTTGCTGGATGCTACAGTAAACCTAAGACCCAGTTCCTATCTTTAGAAGTTAACATTAATTGGGAAAATGAGAATTACCAGAATGTATTATGTTATAAATGACCAATGGCATGAAATCAGTAGATGAGGCACTTAGTTTTAATCAAAGTTATCTTTCAGTGGTAAGCTAGATGAATGGGCAAAAACTCTGGTCAAAGCAAGGCTGTCTTCATTCACACAATGTCCTTGAAAGCAAGTAATCATTGTCACTGGCCACACAGCTAGCAGTGTCAGAGCTGAGACTTCAGGGTCCTGACCTGTCCTCCGCCTATTTCATTCCTACCCCAGTTGCTCAGGAGGCTGTTCTGGAAGCTTGGACTGAAGTGATGAGAACAAACATGGTTCAAGCCATCTTTGAATTGGTCACTTTGTGACCAACACTGGAGCACCGAGACTTGTTGAGAGGGAGTGAGGCACGCAAGCCAGTTCCCACAGAATTTAAATAGCTGGAGGAAGATGAAAAGCTGGTAAGATTAGCAAATGTCAAGAGTAGATTTTTGGCTAGACATGGTGGTTCACACCTCTAATCCCAGCTACTCCAGAGGGGAAGATCAGGAGGATTGAGGTTAGTGGTCAGCCCAGGCAAAAAGTTAGGGAGATTCCCATCTCAAAAAAAAACAGGCTGTTTGTGGTGGTGCATGCCTATAATCTCAGCTACATGGACATGTATATAGGAGGATCATAGTCTGAGGCCAGCCCTGGGCAAAAGTGCAAGACCTTTTCTGAAAAATAACTAATGCAAAAAAAAGACTGGGAATGTGGCTCAAATGGCAGATCATTTGCCCAGCAAGCACTTAGGCCCTGGACCACCAAGAAAAAAAAAAGAGTGGGGTTTTATTTCTCAGGTGATCATGGAATGAGAAGGAAAGCACGGAATACATTTCTAATCTAATTCAGGTTCTACCCTGGCTTTCTATGTTATCTTGGTCACTTTGCAAATTTCTTCACCTGTAGAACAGAGACTAATAGTTATATTACACAGCAGACTGAATACTCACAACTGGTATGGTAGATTGCTAGTCAACACCAGAAAAGGTGATTAAGTTTAATATTTTAAAAGTCTTTGTTTTGTGGGGATGTTTTCTTCCTTTCTTTTTTCTACCCTTCCTTCTTTCCTTCCTCCCTCTTTCCCTTTTCTTCCTCCCTCCCTCCCTCACTTTCTTTCTTTCATTCATTTTTGAAAGGGAGGCCTCACTCTGTTGCCCAGGCTTATTTGAACTCTGAAGGTCAAGTGATCTTCCCACCCCAGCCTCTAGAGTGCTGGGCTACAGGAGTGTGCCACCACACCAGCTTGCTTGCCATTGTTAAAGCAAGGAAAATTGGCTTTGAAATGTGCAGTTAGTTGCCATAGTGACCAGGAGAAGTGGAGGAATAGGGATGGCACCCAGGTCTCCTAGCTCTAGACACCATGCCCAGTGGAAAACAGCTCAGTTTATCTCTAGTTGTAGGAGCATGTAAAGAGAGAAGCTAGAGAAGGCTGGGTTTTTCCAACTTTTTTGAACACATACCGCGAGAATTGTAGGCTTGTAGAAATTAATCAGAGAAAGAAAAGAGGCCAGGTTGCAAATAATATTGGTTGATTTGAAAGTGCCTTGTTTCTTCAGGACTCCATCTACGTCTTGGTTCTCTTTTATTTCTTTTCCTTCTTGTTATTTCGTTGGAGAATGTGCGTTCAATTTAAAAACTAGTTCACAGTACAAATGAGTCAGGGATTAGGCCAGCAGAAGATTTACAAATTCATTCAAATATGATTTGCTTATACATATCATTTCAGGAGCCTTTCTATTATGTTGAAAGGGATTTATCTGAAATGGAAATAAAGACAAATAGAACTGACAGGAAGAACAATCTAGAAAAACAGAAAAGAAGGGACAAAAGAGTAATGGAAGGACTTTTCTTAGGAAAATGATAAAAAGATCTTAAAAAAAGAAGGAAAAAGCATGCTGAAATTTAAATTAAAAAGTTACAGAGTCCTGTGAAATCGAGCAAGAAGGGAAAACTCCTATTTTTGTAGCTCAGCCATAGAACACTCACCTAGCATGAGCAAATCCCTGGGCATAAATTCCAGCACAAAGAAAACAAAACAAAGCCAACCAAACAAAAGAGGGCTACAACTACTTACCAGTGAGATGAGAGGAAACCCAAGGGAGCCTGAGTAGCTACACAAAAAGGAAAACAGGTGGCACCAAATTTGGCTCACATCAACGGTGTTTCAGCTAGTGAGCAGAAAGAAAAAAGAACCAGAGGTCGCCATGCACTTTTCTTTCCCTTCAAGACATTCAACAGGACAATACAAAGGGGCTGATTTGATGATAGGATCTGACAAGCCAGCTTTTGTCCACAATGTAGACTCAAAAACAAAAAGGATATTTCCTTCAGCCTGGCGTCTGATCTCTTTCATGACATAGTTCATGAAGAACCATGCAGGAGAGGGTTGGCTCCAATGACTAAGCTGCAAGCTTGCTCCTTGGTAGATTTGGGTTTTTCCATCCCTATAGTGGAACAGATAATTGGAGATGGTTACACATAGCATGTGCACTGAGTTCTGTTGTTTCTTCCTCTTTTGAGGGAAATCATTATCAGAAATAATGAACTAGCACTGGGCCTAAGAAGTGCTTTACTAGTTGTATTTCATAAAGATTTATGAAATATGGCAGCACTGCAACAGACATAAAATGTAAGGGAGCAGCAGGCTATAGCCTTAGTTTTTGTGGCAGTATTAGGGTTAGCATTACTTTTAGTATTTCGCAGCTATTTGTACTGATCAGAAGTCTCATGTACTAGAGGCAGTGCTGGATGAGAATCGAGAGACCTAGGTTCTGGTCTGAATTCTGGTTTTAGTGTGACCTTAGTCAAGGTCTCAGTTATCCATCTGTAAAATAGGGAGGCAGACTAGATGACCTCCATAGTGTTGTCTTTATACTGACCTAGCACCAGTAAAACATCTGCACCACACTTTGGGAACAGAAGAGGAAATGTGTATGCCCTGCCCTGCCTCTACTGGTAATACAGCAAGTATTTATAAGACAACCACCATTGCTGCACATGAACCATTGTTTGATGGTTCTATGGCAACCCAGACCAAAATGTCAGCTATCCGGAGGGAAAAGGAACGACAGGGGCTTAGTAGTTACCAGCTAACCTTTGAGGTTC